GTTTTTGTAAATAAGAAGAGGTGTTAGAGAGTAGAGGAATGGAGAAAAAAGCAGCAAGATGTATCACGTACAGGTACAAATCCCCTATGATGAATGTGATCATTATATATACCTAAAATGTACCAACTATTTAAAAAAACAACAAAAAACAAAGTAGCTTTTGGTTTGGGGACCTTAAGAGATTATACCCCCAACTACACAGCTGGCTCAATTGCCTGGATGTAACACAGAGCAGGGACTGCCAAGTTTCTTAGGTCAGAAAGTCTGCAGATAAAGGATGCATAAATAGTATTACTATTTTCACTTTCTTGGCTTAAAATTTCTCAAAGTTGCCAGGCATGATGGTGCATGCCTGTAATCCCAGCACTTGAGAGGCTGAGACAGGAGGATCACCATGAGCTCGAGGCCACCCTAGGCTACATAGTGAGTTCAAAGCCAGCCTGACTATGTGGCAAGACAGTCTCAAAACAAAAATTTTCAAAATAGAAACTTAGGAGCTGGGGATGCCTCTCAGTGGTATGACATTTGCCTACCATACTCAAGGCTTTCCTCTTCCCTTGGTCCCCTTTGCATTTGTATATTGAATCATGTACGAAGCTTTGGAGTCAGGAATGGTTTTCCATACCTGTAACCCCAGCCCTCTAGATCAGATTCAGCCTTGCCAACTTTGCAACTTAGTGAGACTATCTCCAAAAGAATTTTAAGGGCAGGGGATATAGCTCAGGGTGAAGGTCCTGGGTTCAACCCTCAGTAGTAAAAAAAAAAAAAAAAATACATATTTTTACCCTTCTAGTGTTCAAGGGACTTGCTATTGGGGATGCATCTGCCGTGCATGGTCCGTGTCAACCCCTATAAACCGCATGGATTAGTAACGGGAAAGAGGTAGTTCACTAGATAAAAACTGTTATGTAGTTGGCAGGAAAATGACCAAGGCACAAAGCAATACTGAGGTGGTACAAATTAAAAGATTTAGTATTCAAGTGTTAGCCACTATGTGATCAAGAACATGCAAACAGCTCCAGCTGCATGTTCTCAGAAGGCACAGCAAGGCCAGGATCCTTTTCCTGAGCTCTGAGAGCAGTGTCTGAAGCCAGAAGAGATGAGGTCATGTAGCCCAGGGTCTGTGCTTAGCCTTCAGCTGCAGTGGCTGATCCCGAGTGCCAAGCCCTGCCCTCCATGGGCCCCAAGCTGAGCAAGCCAGCCTCCCCAGGAAGGTCCTAGTTCTTTTTTGGCAGAGAGGGGTAACTGGGAATCAAATTGAGGACATATTTGCCAGGCAGGCATTGTGCCACTGAGCTGAATTCCCAGCTCAGGACCTGCTCTTTGAGCTCACTTTAGAATACAGCAATCCTCCAATTCTCCAGATATATGCCCAATTAGGGTCTATCCTGTGCTGCATAAAATAACCTACCATCACTGGTAAATTATCCTAACAGTGTGCTCCGGGATATTCACTTCCAGTACCGTCCAATTACAGGACACTTTTTTGGGGTGGGGTGTGGGGCGTTGAGACCGACTTGCCATGCTGCTCAGGCTGACCTGAAACTATGTGGTCCAGGGTGGCCCTAAACTCACAGTGATCTTAAGTGCTGGGACTGCAGGAATATGTCACCATTCCTGGCTTTAGACACTTTTTCTTTCTTTGTACTGGGAATCTAACTCAGGACCTCACACACTTTGCCAGATAGAAGCTGTCACTGAGCTAAATCCCTGGCCCCTAGACACTTTTGAGTATGCCCACTACCTTGACTTTTTGGAGGAGGCTGAGTACTGGGAATTGAACCCAGGGTCTTTGCAATGGTCTCACTGATTTCTCTGTCTTGAATTTGTGATCAAATTAGCTTGACAGAAACTGAACTGATGATCACAGCTACTGAAAGATCTTTAACCATGAAAACTGGAAAGGGGGGTGAAGACCATTACTAAGCTACATTCTGTCCTTTAAAAACTTTTTAAGCTTTGAGGAGTCCTGCTTATAATTTGTCCAGGCTGGGCTCAAATTTGTGATCCTCCTGCCTTAGTCTCTCAGGTATACACTACCTTGCCTTTTTCTTTTTGATGATCAATTAAAAACTGGTTGCTGGGCATGGTGGCATTTGGGAGACTGAGACAGGGTGATCACCAGTGAGTAAGAGGCCAGCCTGGGCTACATAGTGAGTTGAAGGCCAATGTGGATTAGAGCAAGACTGCCTCAAAAAACCAAAAATGAAAATAAAAAATAGGCTACATGCCATTTTAAATTTTTTCTTTTTGGCAGTGGTGGGGATGGAGCCCAGTACCTTGGGTATGCTTAGCAAGTGCTCTACCACTGAGCCACATTCCCAGTTCTCCCAAATTTTCTACTTTAAAAGTTTGAGTCTTGCAGTGTAGTTCAGACTGGCCTGGAACTCACTAGGTACCCCAGGCAGTGCTCAAACTTATGACATACCTCCTGCCTCAGCCTCCCAAGTGCTGCAATTAGAGGCATGTACCACCACACCTGGCAACTTTGAAGAATTTTAAGCCAGAAAAGTAAAAATAGTAATAGTGAACTATTTATGTATCCTTTATTCAGTTTTTGACCTAAGAAATTTGGCAGTCCCTGCTCTATGTTAGTATCCAGGAACTTTCTCTAGGGTAACCAGAGAAGCCATACCTCTGGGAAAAATTCCTAGTCCTTAGACTGTACAATGAGCATTCTGTAGTGTTTTTACTCACTCACAACACAGCAAGACAGGCAGATCAGAATTTATTTGCAAGTTACAGAGGAAACTAATTCAGAGGTCAAGTTATCTCCCTGCTCTTGGTCTTGTGACTCAGCTATAACTGGACCCTGGGTGCTAAAGTCAGCTTTAGCAACTTAACACTTAGTCCTTTCTCTCCTTGGTTCTAGCAGAGAGCAAGGCCAGAGATGCCTCCCCAAACAGGTGTATGAAGCAAAGTGCCATAGTTTCAGTCTTCTGACAGTCAAGCAACCAGTCCTGGTACAGTTCCATCACACTTAGGAACAGAAGCTCACAGAAGAGACTGGGAGTACGAGACAGACAGGCTACCCTAGTCTGCATTCAGCACTTACTGAGGGCTTGTTCTGCCCATTATTGTACCCAGCACAAAGCAGACAGACATGCTGCTCATGCTGACCTGAAACTATGTAGTCCAGGGTGGCCCTAAACTTAGAAGGCACTGCCCTCGCACAGTTCATTCTCATGGGTTCATTCCCCAAGCTGTCAATAGTAAGACTGGCAGATCACACCCTGCCCACATCAGTGTCTCCTGTGGTCCTTAGAGTGCCTGATATTTTTATTAGGTTGCTAATGTCAAACTTCTCTGAATCAGGCAACTTGTGCTGGATCTTTAGAGAGTAGCAACAGCCTGTCCCGCCCTACACCCAGGGCACCTGCCTCCGGCGTCTCCAGCCTGCAATCTCCATCCATTTTGGTACCCACTTGAGATGTGCACGCATTGAAGTTGAACCTCTGAAGCAAACAAACACTCAAACAAAGCTTCTTTCAGATAAAACTGAGTAACACAAAATAAAGGAAATTCGCTGTGATGCTAGTAGTGATCGGTAGAAAGGGGTACTTCAGATGTGGATAAGGAGGTTAAATGCGGTACAAAGAAACCTAGAACCAATCTGGGACCAGCCTGCTGTCAACAGAGAGGAGAAATGCTTCCATAAAGAGGAACCAGCAAGGCACAGGGCCTGCCTGAGGCTGCAAAGAGCTCACCCATTCTGGAGCAGCAAGACAGGTGTGGCTGGAGAGCAGGCAAGGACCCCAAAGAGACAGAGCGAGTTCCATAGCACCATGTGAGCCTCTGGATTTTGCTCCAAGAGTGAAGGGAAACCTTTGAGAAGAATAACGTGATCTGTTTTACAATGTCAAAAGGTTGGTCTGCTATACTGAAAAGGTAACAACCTACTGGGTGACAGTGGCTAGGACCAGGGTGGTAGCAGAGGAGAGACAGACATGGCAGCCTCTTGCATGTCACCTGAAGCACAGGCAAAGGGGTTTCAGAGGTGAGGATGAGGTAGTGGTGATGGACGGTGTCAAGAAAGGGGGCAATCAAGGACCACAACAAGGCTGTGGCTTGCACTGACACTTGACAGTACTGTGGACAACTGGAGCAGGCCCTGGTTTTGGGCAAGCGATCAAGACTTGGATTTTTGATGACTGTATTTTGCCTCACCCCAAGTCCTCCTGGAGTCCTCATCAGGCCTCCTTTTAGCCAAACAGTCCCCAAATCCCAAAATTCAAACTATTCTTTTGAGATAGGTTCTTGTTATATAGTCAGGCTGGTCTCCAATTCATGGTGTTCCTCCTGTCTCAGCTTCCTGAATGCTGGGATCACAGGCCTGTGCTACCATTGCCCAGCCCAAAATTCAAGATTTATGAAGACCTAATCCCTTATGCAAATCTATCCCTTCCACTTCCTATCCAGTGCCTCCATCCTGATTGCAATCTTATCTTGACCTTTACTACAGTCCACTGTTACAAAACAAAAACATCTTTCCTTCCTCCCTCCCTCCCTCCAGCCTTTGATGGCAGAGACTACCCCTTTGTATTTGTTGTCCCTGTCTAGAGCCGTCAGGGTAGGCAAGCAGGTGATGAACTGAAGAGGGCTCCTCGGGAGGGAGGTAACCTCAGGTAAGGCAGAAGCCCTACCCCAAGATAACACCATTCCTCCACCAAACATGAAGCCAAGCCAGGTACAAAACACATGCCTTACTAAGGAATGCATATCTGTTTCTAGTGTGGCTTTGTCCACACTGAGCCCCCCTTGTAGCTGGCTGTTAATCACAGTGACCATTCTTTCCTCATCCTCTGCAGGGTGGGGACTCACTTCACTTCAGAGCCTCTATGGAAAAAGCCACAGCGTTGTTTTCCAGTTTACAAAGAAATAGGAAGCCAGGATGAAATCCCATTTCTTTTGCTAGACTCAAGCCTGGTCCCGATGAACACATGGCTTCCCCTGATCTTACTGCCCTGCTCTGTAATTGGGGACATTTCCCAGCATCTCACCCTGCAAAGCTGCTGCCTTGTTCTCAGGTGTTCCTAGGCTTCACTTCTGCATCTGCAAATTTCTCTGGGTGTCAGGGTGCACTGTCATAAGGTCAAGGTCTCTCGGTCCTCCACCACTCTCCTCAGGGCTGGATGAAGACACTCAGGAGAAAAGCACCCTGCTCTTCGGTCCCGGAGGAATCAGAACCAGTAAGGAGAAAGAGCCGTCTAAGGAGACAAGAGTACATTCAGTGGGACAGAGACCAGAGAGGCCACCAGTCAGAAAATCAAGTCAGAGGGCTTCTTTCGGGAGGTTTCTGCCTGGGAGCACCTGGAAGAAAATGGCAGTGGTGGGCACAGGCAGGAAGACCGTGCCCGAGCCTGAGACAGTCACTTCTTCAGGGCACCCAGGCTCCTGAGGGCCTCCTGGGCCTGCGCCAGCTGCTGCTGCAGCCTCTGGCGGGTGCTGCTGCTACAGGCGCGCTTCAGCAGGGTCTGCATCTCTTCCACCACTGCTCGGTGGCCTGGGGTGTTGTGGAAGAGCCGCACAGCCCGGTCCCCGCAGGAGGCCAGCAAGCGGCCGGTGACATCAAAGGCTAGGTCGGTAATATACTCCCCGTGGACCTGTTCGAAGCTTTCCTCTTTCTCGCCGTGCCGCGTGTTGTAGAGATAAATGTTGGTGCCGCTGGCCAAGGCCAAGACGTGGGTGTCAGGGGAGAGTGCCAGGCGGCATGGCATGGTGCTCGCTTGTTCAAAGCGGCCTGTCCTCAACAAATAGGGATCTTGCTGCTTCTTGTATTCCACGTCAGTGTCCCACAGTTTCCATGTGCCGTCCTTGGACACAGAGGCCATCCTGCAACAAAGGCATCACAGCTCAAGCCTCAACTCCATCCCAGGGGCTTCAGGCCCTAGGACAGCCTGAGAGACTGCAGCCAGGCATCCTGTCTACTCCCTGTAAGGGCCAGGTACCCTGCCCCCTGCAAGCTCCGTCACCCGTGGATGGGAGAGCCCTGGAGGAGAGATCAGGGCGCATCTGGGCACTCACCGCCGGGAGTCGTTGGAGAAGGCAAAGCAGTGCACAGCTGCCGAGTGGCCCTTCAGTTCAAAGGCTCGCACGACCTCCTGGAATTCCCCCTTCTTCCCAAAGCAGACTTCCCAGATCTTCACATCTGGGGTGAAGCCACATGAAGCCACAAACCTGCCACAAAACCCAGCTTCCTTGAAAACGGGACTTGAAAGGCATCTTGCGCCTACAAACCCCTTAAACATTGTTCCTAAGAAAAGGGAACTTTTTGGAATGCTGGAGATCAAACCAAGAGGCTTGTACACTACCCAAATGTTCTACCACTGTCCTACCCGCCAGGCTGAGGCACCTGCTACAAAGCGCTTCTAAAGCCAGGTAAAATGCTGCATACACTTGGAATCCCAGCATTCCGGAAGGCTGAGGCTGGAGAATCACAAGTTCAAACCTAGGCCTGGCAACTTACTGACTCAGGGAGAGTCTGATTTGAAATTAAAAATAAAGATAAAGGCTAGGGATACAGCTCAGTGCAAAGACCATGGGTTCAATCACCAGCACCAAAAAAAAAAAAAAAAAACGAAATAAAAATACCAAGTGCTTCTGCATATGTGACATCCCAACTTGTTCTAAGATATGTAAACACCTCAACCCCACCCTCTAACAACTGCAGAGGAAAAGACAGGTAAAGGACTGGCAGTTGCATGACATCCTATCACTGCAAGGGGTGAGCTAGGACCTGATCTAAGGCACCCCAAGACTCCACCGTGAGTGCCCACTCCACCCCACAGACTGCCTCTCTGCTCTGTACCTACTCCAGGTCAGCTGCACACTGTGCCCAGTGCCATGCCCACTACCTTACCTGCTGCAAGGGGATATGGCAGCATAGATGTTGTTCATCTGGTTGGTGTTAATCGTGGACAACACCTGGCCTTTCAGATTCCAGATAATAATAGTTGTGTCACTGGAGGCTGTCATGATGAACTTGCCTAAGAGGAGGAGAAGGATGTGAGCCACAGGTAGTGACCTGACCAATCAACATTCCCCAGGGAGACACTGATGAGGTTTCTGCTGTCCAAAAACTCATGATCTCCTCCCAGGCCAAGAGTCACCACACAGAAGGACTGGGCTGAAAAATCTAGCTCCTCCCTCTCTCCTTCCAGGACATGCTGTGGCTCCTGGGACTCCAGGGGACAGAGCCCGGTTGCTTAGAGTCACAGTCCTTGGTCACACTGAGGCCCAATGAAACCCTAACAACTCACTTTGCAAACATACCTCATGGGGTCTTCTCATGCCTGGGGCAGTGCAACCCTCAGAATGTCTCTCACCTGTGTCAGCAATGCCAATGTTGATGACAGGTGCCTTGTGCTTCTTAGGGAAGTCCTCTGGGGTGGCCGTGAAGGTGAAGCCTCCATCTTCTCGCTTGGACATCTTGAAGACCCGCAGGGTGTCCCCATTAGCCAGCCAGACGATGAAGGCCCTAGAGACAAAGCAGACAGCAGGCTCTCTCATTTAAAGATGGAGGCCTAGGGTTCCAGGCCCTGTGCTACATTTCTGGGAAAAATAAAGGTCTCCCTTCATGGCCTACAGCATGGCCTTACAATGTAAAAGCCTCGCTCAAAATACTTTAAACTATTTAAAGGGACATATCTGTAATCCCAGCACTCTGCAAGGCTGAGGCAGGAAGATCAAAATTTTGAGGTCAATCATACCAATTTAGTTACTTACTGGACCGTGGCTCAGAATAAAAAATAGAAAGAGCTGGGGATGTTGCTTAGAGCAACAGCTCTGGGTTCAATTACCAAGAATGAAAAACAAAAAGCAAAAACAAAAAAATCAAAAGGATTCTCAGTGCTTGGCTCCTTTAGCTTCTTCCTAACATTCAAAAAACCCTGAGAACCTAAGATTTATTTTGAAGCCTTGTAAGTTGCTGGGTGGAAGAGGGCTTTGGCTCTGTTTCTTTGCTGCGTAGTGGTATAGCCCTCCAGGAAGCCTTGGGCGGTGTACACAGTACCTGTACACTCTCTCCTTGTCCCTGAAGGAGAACCTGGGCCCCTTCTAGCTCCCCCTAACTGGATCCTGGATGGCCAGAAGCTGGGGCTAGGCTTCCGTGGGCAAACCTGAGGCTCCGTCCTATCCCACCTGCAGTCAGGGCTGAAGCGCACCAAAGTGGCATGGTCCAGCTCCACGTTGGCTCGCATGCTGCGGTGCTCCCGCTGCAGGAAGTCCTTGGTGCTCCAGATGCGAACAGTGCGATCGTCAGCACAGGTGGCCAGATACTTGCCGTTGCTGCTGAAGTCCATGCATGATATGTTCCCACTGTGGCTCTGGGTGAAGGGTACAGGAAGCACGAGTGAGCAGTGTGGTCAGACCTGGAGCCCTGATACCAGGAATCCTGGGGCCCTGCTGCATGGACGCTCAGCAAGCTAGCTCAAGGTGGGCTGGGCAGAAGAGGGACAGCACGAGGAAGACACTGACTGTGGTCAGAGGCAGAGGGGTCTGAAATGCCACAGATGATGACAAAGGCAAAGGATATAGGGGGTATGAGTTCTGTGCGTGTCGTGTGGGGACCCCTGGGGATGCTTGTACCTTCAGCGCTGCAGCCAACAGGCGGTGGGTGAAGTTGTGTTGCTGAGGTTTCTCTTTGCGAATTCGTTGTTGCTGTTTCTGCTTCTTGGATCCTGGCTTCTTGGGTTCATTTGTTTTTTGTGCTATAAGGAAGGGCAACACCATTCATTCACTCGTTCACTGGTAAGTACTGACTACTCATGACTCGGCAATCCCCAGCCGAGTGCAGAGCAAGTGATGAAGTACATGTGGTTGCACCTGTGGAAAGCCTGAGACGTGGGCAAACACAGGTGCTTTGGAACAGGCCTGACATGTGGGTTTGACTGTATCCTGCGGGAGCTGGACGAGGCAACTTCCTGCAGAGCACCTTAATGCACAATAGGAAAGATGCCCTCTTTGGGTTGATGTAGCACAGTAGGAGAAAAGGCACGCAACAGTACCTCGTGGCCTTGGAGGAGTTATTTAATTGCTCTGAGTTTTAGTTTCCTTGAAGAGTGATCCAGAGAACTGGATGAGATAATATAAACAGCGCTGCACACACGCATTAAAGGTCAAAGGCCTTTAGGAACTCAGCATGTGTTTGAGCATTGACCCTGTGACAGCAATGGTTCCTGTCACTTCTGCATAAAGTACTTGAGAATCAGGCATGTAATAGGGGCAGATGCTCCCCAACCCCTCCAGGAAACAACTTCTAATCCCATGCACAAAGATGGCCACCATCTGGCCTTTGAGTCACACAAAGAGCAGTGTTGGGACTCCCTGCCTTCAGGAGTTTTGCCTCTTCCTTGGCCTTCTGGCGAATTCTTCCAATATCCCCGTCCTTCAAAACCCCACAAAATGGACAGGCCATGTAGCTTAAGAGGGCACCTGTCTGAGGCCATGACCTATTCGAGCATCCAGCACCTAAACAACCACCACAAAACTATCTCATTCCCTACTGTGAGGATGTCTCTAACTACTCCTCCCCCAAAGCAGGGGTCTTGTCTCCAGTATTAACTTTTCTTTGCTATATCCCTGGCCCCCAGTACTGATGTTTCTATGAAATGAATTACACTACTTATTTTGCAGTACTAGGCACTGAACCCAGGTCCTTTGGAACTGAGCTATAGCCCCACTGCCTTTTTTTTTTTTTTTTTTGTCTTTTTTGAGACACGGTTTTGCAGTATGCAGTTCAGGCTGGCCTTGAGCTCACTTTGTAGCCCAGGCTGGTCTTGAACTCACAAAACCAGCCTCCCGAGTGGTGGGATTACAGGCATGAGCCACCATGCTGGGCTCCCACTGCCTTTTTTGGAGATTCGGCCACTAAGTATCCCGGGCTGGGCTCCCAACCTGAGTCCCTCCTGCCTCAGCCTTCCAGAATACTGAAATACAGAAATACATCTGCCATGTGCGTAAATATTTCACTGCACTTTTATAAGATCATAATTAACAGATTTTGATTTTAGATACACGTTTTAGACGCACTTCTCTATTGGACTCATTCAAGACTCCGAAGCCTGTCCAGGGCTAGCAGGTACTTTGAGGGACACTGTGGGTCGCGAGGTTCGTCGGACAGCGCGTGCTGACCCATGCCTGTCCCCATTTTGAGACACCGCGAACACGCTGCACACTCGAGTCAGTCCCCAGCGCTGGTCGCAGGAGGCCAGGACACCGAGATGCCCTGGTTCTGCTCATCTAAACCCAGGATGCGACCACCCTGGCGGGGCAGCACCGCGCCGCTGGAAAAACTGAAGCCCAAGAGCGCCGGCCTCCGCGGCTGCAGCGAGGTCCCCGTGTCGCCCCTGCCCGCCGCGGCCCCACGTACCAACGGGCTGGCTGCCCTTCTTCTCCTCGGCGCGCAGCCATCCCCGCGCCACTGCCGCCGTCGCCACGAGGGCCAGCAGCCCGACCAGCAGGGACAGCACCACCAACTCCCACACCGCCCGAAAGTCCATAGCGGCCGAACTCTGCCACCTCAGCCCACGACGACGCCGGCACCCGCACGTCTCCACGCACGCAGGGGCGGGGCCGGCCGTTAGCGGCCGCGAGGGGCGGGCCCGGGCTGTTGGGGCGCCCTGAGGGGCGAGGCCTAGCTGTTGGCGTGTCTTGAGGGTTATTGGTTCCTCCTAGCGGGAGGAGCCTGGACGTTGGCGCGTCCTGAAGGACGAGGCCCGGCCTTTGGTTGGTGTGTCCTGGGGCGGGGCCTGTTTGTCGGAGCGCCTCGGGGGCGTGGCCTAATGTGTGGCGTGCTCTGAAGGGCGGGGCCTGGCCATGAAAGTGAGGCTCTTCTGGCTTTGAGGGTCCCCTCCCTTTGAGTATATCGCTAATACGTTCATTTAATATTTTCAGAGCCGGGTATGGTGGCACGCGCCTGTAACTCCAGTATATAGGAGGCTGAAGCAGAATTGCCACGATTTCGAGACCAATCTGAGCCACTTAATGAGTTCAAGACTATCTTGGCAAATAAATTAACAAACAAATAAAGGTTTTCTTCCATTATCTCCGCCCTGGATCTTTTCTAGGAAGTTGAGCAGCGAGGGGGCTGTGATTGCCAAACGACGGGTAGGAGAGGCTTTCTAGCAGCAGGAGACATGCAAATGAGCTTTACGGTTGCAGAAGGGTAAGAGCGCCTAGAGCTCCAGACGGCGACGTCGCGGAGAGGCGGGGCAGAGCTCATCTAGCTGGGGATGCGAGGGTTTGCTGAACCTGGGCTTTCTTGCTGCGGGGCTCCTTGCAAGGACCTTTGGATGGATCCTTGTCGAGCAAAGAGAAACCCGGAAGTGTTGCAAGATTCCCAGAGGGAGCTAACGGGGACCAGGACTCGAGGATAGCCTGGGGTGTGAAAGGGACGTTGGAAAGATCATATTTATTTTTGCGGTCCTGGGAATGGAACTCAGGATCTCCTGCATGCTAAACAAGCGCTCTACGCGCCAAGCTACACTTCAGTCTCTGAAAAGTTGCGTTTTTCTTTTTCTTTTTGTACTGAAGATTGAATCCAGGGCCTTATACTGAGCTACATCCCCAGCCCCTTTTAATCTTTCTTTTTTTCAAGATATAGGGTCTCACTAAATCGATAAATTGTCCAGGCTGAACTCAGACTCTCCATTCTCTTACCTCAGCCTTCTAGAGTGCTGGGGTTATAGCCATGTGCCACCATGCCCAGTTAGAACAGATTTTAAACAAAGAATAATTACTTTAAAAGTAATTATAGACTCACAAGAAATTGAAAAATGAAGAGAGGGCCTATGGGCCCTTGCACACAGTTTTCCTTTCCTGCGTAGAATATAACCAGGACCTTGACATTGATACAGTCTCTACAGAAGCAACCAGATTTCACTGAAAAGGACCTATTCTGAGAGACTGGCAGACTCAGGATTTTTTTTTTTTTTTAATCTTTTTCTTGAGACAGGATTTCACTATGCAGTTCACACTGGCCTTGAACTTACTTTGTAAGTATAGGCTGGCCTCAAACTCACAGTGATCTCCTGCCTCAGCTTCCCCAGGGCTGGGATTACAGGCATGCACCACTCACTATCACACTTAGTGGGATTTGTAATCCTATCTGCTAGGCCAGTCTAGCAGTCCAGGACAGGCATGCTCCCTGAGCCAAAGCACAAGTGCCAAGGGCACCATTCCAGCCTCAAACATTTCCATTGTTTCCACCCCTGCCGGGGAGCTGCCTCTCCTCACAGTCTAAGCTCAGTAGCCCTGACAAGAACTACTTGAATCTGGACCTGGTGGCCAGGCCTGGAATTCTAGCGCTATGAGAGGCTGAGGCAAGCAGATTTCAAGTTCGAGCTGTGCCAGGGCAGTCTTGTAGCCCAGGGCAATTTAGCCAGACCCTGTGACAGAATGAAAACTAAAAAAGGGCTGAGGATGAGGCTCAGTGCTAAGGTCCTGGTTCCATCTTAGTACAAAAAAAGAAAAGGACACTTTGAGGAGATAAGCAGTTCAGAGACTGACTGACAGACAGACAGACACACCACAGTCTCCGGTGAGGAAGCAGATCCAGTCTGAACAAATGGAGTGGCCTCACTTCCTTCCCTTTTGTCCTTTTCTGGGAAACTGGCATTGACTCAGCTGTGGGCGTAGGGTGGAGAGGGTGGAGAGGAGTGCCCCGTGTCTCCTAGACCTTCTCCCAAATTTGCTATTTAGAATTGCACACCCAGGCACCACCCAGAGACAAAGCTGTACTGTTCTTTTTTCTTTTGTGAGACAAGGTCTTGCTATGTAGCCCAGGCTGGCCTTGAATTCATGGTGGTCCTCCTGCCTCAGCCTCCCTAGTGCTGGTCTTAGATGTGTGCACCACCATGCCTACCTAAAACTACTTTTAAGAACAATTTCCTTTTCTAAGCATTTTGCAAGTGACGCTTATTGATCCAAGAGCTTTGTGTCTTACTGGAACTTCTCACAATCCCCTTCCGCAGGTAAGGACTGAAGTACAAGGAAGTTACATGACTTTCCCAGAGTCACATGGGCAGAGATCAGGCCTGGGGATACATGCAGGTCTGACTCCAATCTATAGTTGTAGGGTAAAAGGAATAGTGGTCCCTGTACAGCTCAGGCCAGTTACAAACCTCAACCACATCTGAGTTCAGTTGATTTTGATAATGACTGCTGACATGGTGATGATGTTGGGTGTGGAGGCACACATCTGTGATCCTAGGGAGGCTGAGGCAGGAAGAGCACCTTGGGTTTGAGCCCAACTTGGGCTATATAATAAGTGCAAGGCCAACCTGGACTACATATCAAGACTGTCTCAAAAAAAAAAAAAAAAAGTAGCCTGGAAGCCTGGGGTTGTGGCTGAGTGGTAGAAAGCTTGCTAAATATGCATAAGACCCTATTTCAATTCCCACCACCATAGGCACAATGAATGACACCAAGCCTGACTTGCCCAGGAGAGCTGGTCGAGTCAGGGAAGGGGCTTGTGGGCAGGAGGACTCAGCTGTAGTTTCTAGAGTGGGCAGGGGGTGGGGGCATTCCAGATGGGGAAAGTAAGGCACGAGTAAAGACATGTGGGTAGAAGGAGCAGATTAGGCATTGTATCCATTAGGGTTACTAGAGAAACAGATACAACACATGATATACAAACGTAGAAGAAATTACAAGATTGGATTACAATGGTCAGCCACCAAGTCGGATGAAGGAGCTTGCAGAAGGTGTCTGTACGCTGGAGGTCGAAGGGTCCAGCCTAAGGGCTGGAGCTTACTCCAGTGTTCCATGCCAGTCCGTGTCTACAATGGAACACTGAAGAATCTGTGATGGAAGGCTGAGAGTCTATGACAAAGGCTGAAGAGTCAAGGTAGAAGCCAAACATCTGTGCCAGAAGCCAGGAAATGGTGTCCAAGATGAAGGTGAAGACTGGAGCTCCTCCGAAGAACCAGCAATCAGTCCCTCCTCGGTTGCCTTTAATGTACGAATACTGCTCCTCTGGGGTGGGTGCAGCACTCACACCATCTGCCTGCCCTCCTCTTGCACAGGCTGAGGCTGTTACAAACTAGGGACCCTGGCCCCTGCTGAGTCACTTAAAGTTCTGACCTTCTCAGATTGACACAGTGAACAATATCCTGGAATGATAATTGCTTGTCCTCTACACCCCAAGTCAAAGAGCTGCTGAGTCACTTAGTTAAGCTTCTAGGCTTCTCAAGTTGACACAACGTATAAACCATAACAGGGGTGCACATTCTTGGACTCCACCCCAGACCTAGCACTCTGAAACTCCGCATGTGTGGCCCAGTGATCTTCTCCCATCTTCCTACCTTGTCGCTCTTCGAATTTGAACATGTTTTTCCTGCTTTCCCAGTGTCTATCCTCCATTATGTTCCTTATTTGACTTTTGTGTTTCTCACAGGAGAAACAAAGCGATATTAAAACTTGTGTGTCTGATTTATTTTACATAAGATTATGGTCTCAAGGTGTATCTAGATTTCTACAGATGACTCAAGTTTATCCTTTATGGCAGAGTAGTGCTCCATTGTATATAAATACCACATCTTCTTTATCCATTATCTGCTCATGGGCTTATGGGCTGTTTCCAATATTTAGCTATCATAAATTGTGGTATTATAAACATGGGTGTGCATATGTCACTGTGGCATCATAAGATACTTTTAACTCTTTTAGGAAGATACCTAGAAAGGTCTAGCTAGGTCAAATGAAACCTTTAGTTCTAGTTTTTTGTTGTTGTTTTGCATGCGTGTGTCCTTTTGAGACGGGGTTTCAATATACAGTTAAGGCTGGACTTGAGCTCACTTTGTAGCCCAGGCCGGCCTCGAACTCCCAGTGATTCTTCCTGCCTTAGCCTCCTGAGTGCTGGGATTACAGGCATGCACCGCTGCACCTGGCTCTAGTTTTTTGAAGAATCTTAATACTGACCTCCATAGTGGTGGCATGAGTTTACACTGCTACCAGCAATGGAGAAGCATTTGTTTTACCCCACAGTCTCACCAGCACTTTTTTTTTTGAGACAGGGTATTTCTATGTGGACCAGGGTGGCCTCAACTGTGGCAACCCTCTTGCCTCAGCCTCCTGAGTGCTGAGATTACAGGCGTGTGCCACCACACCTGGCCCTTACCAGCATTTGTTATTGGTTGATTTCTTTTTAAAATTAACTTTATTGGTGCATTTTTTATAAAACATAGGCATTTAATCATCCAATTCTTTTCAATGAATAAAGAGAAATTAGTGGTATAGTTATCTTAACTATCATGTATGTATGTATGTGTATATATATTTTTTATGTTTTAAATTTTTTATTTTAAAGAGAAGAAAACAAAAGAGAACAGAAAAAAACAAATAAGAACAGAACAGTTGAAGCAACACAGCACTTCACAATAAGACAACCAGTATCAACAGTAGCTACCATTAATGTCTCTTTTCTTTGAAATAGTTGAGCATACCTTCACACACAATAATATCAAACATAACAACATAGTATAAAACCATTCAAGAGAATTAAAGCATTATAGGACTTCAAAATCAAATAACAGGAAATGAACAATGGCTATTATAATATCTCATTTTCCTCAAAAAATTTGTACCATCACACATAATAAAATCAAATAAAACACAACAGGATAGAATCAATCAAGACAGTAGAACAAAAGCATTGTAGGACTTCAAAACAAGATGATAGTAAATCAGCAATGGCTCCCATAATGTCTTGTTTTCTTCGAAAGAGCTGTTCATACCATCATACATAATAAAATCAAACAAAACACAGTAAAATGAATCACACAAATGAATTAAAGCATTATAAGACTTCAAAGCAATATAATAGGAAACCATGATTACCATAATATATCCCATTATATTCAAAATAGCTGCCCCTACCAACTGACAGCATAAAATTAACAAAACAAGACAGAACAAAGCCAAACCTAACAAAATTGTGTAAACAATGCAAGAGTTCAAGATAAGACAATAAGAAATTGACAGTAGCTTCCACCTTTTCCTCCCAGGGATTTCCTCCCCTTTGCTCTTACATTAACTATTTTGCT